AGTGTCGCTATTGTTATTTGTAACAAACTATTATCTGTGAAATCAGTTAAGAATAAGAAAAGTAAAAGTTTTTATTTACCTGCATGTATTACTTCTCTAACGCTCTTCCTTTCTTTATGTGGATCTGAGTTTCTGACCCATATCGATTTCCTTCTGTTGGAGGAGGTAATCCAGAGGATGTGACCACTGGATGATGTGTGAACAGGACCAGGGAAATGGGAGGCTCTTCACCCCACCCCTGTCCTTGGCATGTACACTCTGCCCACCGTTCCCACAGTGGGAGCCATTTTCCAGGATGTAGCTTTGAGAGTGATCTGTTGCTGAGACCATCTGGACAGTATGTGTGACAGAACCCTGTTCAGGCTTCTATATAAACTTTAAGATTCTGGCGGGCAGGTGTGGAGATGGACTTCTCTTGCGGTGCCCAAGAAAAGCCTCAGACAAGCCTCAAGATAACTTTCTTACCGAGTTAGGTCGCGTGGACCCCTACTTGAGCCCTAGCTGGCCTCAGAGGGGAAGGTTCTTTTTCCATTCAAGTTCGTGCAGCCAAAACCGAAACCAAAGCTGAGATGGAAGCAAGGCAACATTTATTCAATGGCCAGAGGATGGAGAAGGAGGAACATAGTTCGCAAATCAACTTCTCACCAATGGGGATGATTCAGGCAAGATCTTAAGGGCAAGGTTAATGAGGGGGAGGCATCTACATTGGTTTTCCAGGAATAGCCGTGATTCTTCCTGGAACTGGGCTGCCACCTCCTTTCTGCCCTTGTATGGTTGTTGGCATCTGGGTGGGAAGCGGCGTCGAACCAGTCTGGTGCGGATGGCTGAGATCCTAGTATTATAATGAGATGGTAATGAGCTGCAGGGCGGCTTTGTCCCGCTTGTGAAGCTGAACCAGCTTGCCGCAGTTTTCCTGTGGATGGACTCTTGTTCCTGCGCTCTGAACACAGCTAGAAGATATGGTTAGTTGTGGTTTTCTGCCAGTTTACCTGGAGGGAGGGGCCGGGGTATGGTTCTGGGGCCACAGCCTCGGTACCAAGTTCCTGTGCTTGTTAAACCTACCGCCTACCAGGCTGGAGTGTCTGCCTCTTCCTTCCATCTCTCCTCACCCTCTGTGTCTGGGGGCCCCTTTCAGATTTCACCCGGGAAGTTCCAGGTTGTTGGTTTTGAACCAACACCTTCTCTCTGAAGAAACTAGAAACTTCTTTTAACATTTCAAAGCAAGACTGCTGGCAACACATCCTCTCAATTTTTTGTTTGCCTTAGAAAGTATTTTTGGTAATTCCCTGGTGGTCCAGTGGTTAGGACAACAAGCTCTCACTGTTGAGGACCCGGGTTTGATCCTTGGTCGGGGAACTAAGGTACCACAAGCTGTGCGGTGTGGCCAAAAAAAAAGAAAAAGGTATTCTTCACTTTTGCAGGATAACTTCTTAGAATACAGAATCCTAGGTTGGCATTCATTTTTTTCTCTCAACACTTCAAATATTTCACTCCATCCTCTTCTTGTTTGCATCATGGTTTCTGAGGAAAAGGTGGATGTAATTTTTATCTTTGCTCCTCTAGAGGGAAGGTATTTTTTCCCTCTGGCTCCTTTTAAGATTTTTATCTTTGATTTTGTTCAGTTGGAATATTATATGCATAATAACCCCCACCCCCACCACCCCCACCCCCACCACAATCATCATCATCATCATCATCCTCATCATCATCATCTATCCCAACCTGCCCATTTTGGAGGATGCTGAAACTGAGGCCCAGCATAGTTGCATTCCTGGGTCGGGGGGAAGGAAAAGGGGCTCTGAGACCCAGACATGGCCATGCTAGGGGAAGGGGGCAGGGGGCAGACCTCGGCTGAGAAGAGAACAGGGTAAGAGCTATATTTGAGCTCCTGGTATGATGACTAAGGAGGTTGATCACCCCCACCCGCCGTTATCCTGTCTGTTCTCTAGGCTTCCTGTATCTGCTATTTGGTAGCTGTCATTAATTTAGGGAAATTCTCAGTCATTATGGTACCAAGTCCAGGTTCGCTCTGCTCACTGCCCAACAGGCCAGTATATTGGGGGATGAGTTGGAGCAAGGAATGATGACTTTATTCAGAAAGCCAGCAGGCCCAGAAGATGGCAGATGACTGCCTCAAAGAACCATCTTCCCCCAGTCAGAATTCGGGCTCCTTTTATACAGAGAAAGGGGAGGGGGAGGGGCCCACCACAATGTCGCCCATTGGTGGGAGTAGGACCGCTAACAGCCAATCCCAAACGACCTGCGCTAAGGGCCGCGTGCGCCCGCCCCACCCCTATTAAAATCATTGCTTTGAATATTTCTTCTGTTCCTTTCTCGCTTTTCTTCTTGGTATTCCCATTACTTGGATGTTATACCTTTTGTAGTTGTCCCACAGTTCTTGGATCTTCTGTTCCGTTTTTTTGCCTTTTTTCTCTTTGCCTTTCAGTTTTGGAAGTCTCTATCATCACTCTCAGAGGTTCCTTCCTCAGCCCTGTCCATCTACTAGTGAGCCTATCAAAGGCATTCTTTATTTTTATTACAATGTTCTTGATTTCTAGCATTTCTTTTTGATTCTTTCTTAGAATTTCCATCTCTCTACTTACATGATCCATTTGTCTTGCACGTTGTCTACTTTTTTCCATTAGAGCCCTTATCATGTTAATCATAACTGTTTTAAATTCAATATCTGCTAATTTCAACATCCCTGCAATGTATGAGTGTGGTTCTGATGCTTGCTCTGTCTCTTCAAACTGCCTTTTGCCTTTCAGTGTGCCTTGTAATTTTTTTGTTGAAACCTGGACATGATATACTGGGTAGAAGGAACGGCAGTAAAGAGAACTTTGGTGATGTGGTGGTGAGGTGTAGGGGTAGGGGAGGTGTTCTGTGGTCCTGTGATTAGGCCTCAGGCTTTCTGTGAGGCTGTGCTCCTTGGCTGTGAACTTCGCAAGTGCCTCTCAGACCCAGCCCTCTTAAGTGGAGGTGGGGGGCTTAGGAGGGACTGGAGGGAGCTAGAGTTGGGTATTTCCCTTCCCCTGGGCTAGTTAGGCTCTGACAAAAACCCAATAGGTTCGGCTCTGGCCAAGTAGTTTCTCTTGAGGGCAGGCCTTGTTAAGAAGAATAGAATGCTCTGGCATTTTTCAAAACAGCCAGTTTCCCCCTCCTCCTACAGGAAGCATGAGTGGATTTTTCTCCCATCTTCACTGTGAGAACCTGGTCAGGCCTCTGGAGGCAAAACTCACACCAATATGGGGACCCCCTAAGGCTGGGTCCCCCTGGAGTTTTTATCTCACAGACGGGTCCACACTGAGCCTCTAGCAATTCATCAATTATAGTTTTCCAGCCCCAGCACTGCTTCCTGTGGAGGTTTCTACTCGAGCGTTTCTGCTTCAGTAAATTGTGATTCTCTGTATCTGCATGTCTCTCCAATGCTGGGAGCAGCAATTTGTCCTGTGACCTCACTTCTTTTATGAATCTAAGAAGAGTTGTTAATTTTTCAGTTTGTTCAGCTTTTCACCTGTTAGAATGGAGTGGTGACTTCCAAACTCCTTTTATGCTGGACTGGAAACTGAAAGTCTCAGAAATATATTTTTAAAGTGTCTGTAGACATCCTTACAAGATGTGAACATTGTTAACAATCTTGATGCACTTCCATGTATATGCATATAGATACATATTGTGTGTGCATATCATTTCTACATACATATACAATATATACTACTGCTTTCACAGAATTTTACTGTAGTTTGTACAGCTTTGTATTTAGACTTCCTACTTCATTCCCATTTGTATTTTTCTATGTCATTAAATAATCTCGTTAACAGGAGTTAACATTCAATTATCTAGGTGTAACTAAAAGATGAGGCATGGTAGAAAACTCATCTGTGACATCAAGGAAAGTTGGCTATGAAAAAAGGGTCAATTATCCATGAAATTTTAAGATGACATAAAATTATTTTAGTTCAGTTAAATAGTACATATTGAATACTCCGACCCTGTCATCTGCACTGAGGATACGGACATGAAGAGAACGTAGAGTTTGGCTTGAGGGGCATATACCTAGTTAAGGAGAATACTGAAAAAGAGAGAATGATAATAAAAATGGTAAGTGCCTGGGTATACATGTGTATATATGGTATCCAGATGGACAGGGTATTTGAGGATGAAAGGACAAGCACTTCACCAAGCTTGGGTGGCTTCCTTAAGTTGGGAACACATGAGCAGAGTTTTTTTTGTGTGTGTACACATTTAGTTTTATTGTAACAAAGCAACTTGTACACTTTTAACGTTTAAAACTGAGCATCATCTTTCCTTTCCAGTGAAACAAAAAGAAAAATTTAAAAATAAACAGGAACAAAATTACAATAAAGAATGTCAATTGCAAATAAGATCCTACAGGTTCTGCTGATTCACCCATCGAGTGGCAGGGCTCAAGTCATCATTAGGAGAGAATTTTATTTTAAAACTGTCATCTTAAACTGCAAAGATGTCCGTTAAACATCACAATTAAACATGCCAAAGGAGAAGCCATGTTGTCAAAATGCCCACTTAACCCACCCAAATATCTCAAACCCACCCTTTGCTGACCTTCTATAGCCCCATTTTTTAAAGTTTTTTTTTTCTTTTTTAAAACAAGAGAAAGTAGACAGATACATTTTGGTAAATGCTAACTGTCCATATTCACATAGAGACACAGTGTAATCTCTGAGCCCAATATACAGAGAAAGGAGGAAAAAAGCTAGAATTCTATGCACTACTACACAGGGGCCTAGCACCCTCCAGCTTCCAGCAGAGCTAAGGGAGCAGAAGGTTTTTCTTTTTTCCCACAGAGCATGGTGGTGTTGATTCCATAAAGTTTTTGTTGAGGCAGGAAGGGATAAAAATGAATTTGGAACAGAAAGGGGTAGAGATTCTTTTTCCACTGAATTCTGCTCAAGGTATTTCCCCCCCAGATAAGTTGTGAGCCATGGTATAAAGGAGAAAAGAGACCTCAAAAACAGGGCAACTGAGCACAAGAGGAGAAGGAGGAAAAAAAAAAAAAAAAAAAAAAGACTGCAACTTGCACCCAGGGACTGGAGAAAATTTAAAAAGGTTGGAATCCATCAGTGTCCCATTAGTCATCTTCTTTATCTTCCTCTCCTTCCTCCCCCTCGTCATCATCTGCATCTTCTTCACCTTCATCCCCATCCCCTTCTTTATCAATATCTTCCAATCCTCCTTCCTCTTCATCATCATCATCATCAACTTTTCCTTCCCCTTCCTCATCATCCATGTCCGGAACCAAGTCGTATTGTAATGGATTTGGCCAAATATCATCTTTGATGACCTCTCCTAACTCATCTGCACCTGCATCAGAATGATCAGTAAACCAGGTGAAGCAGCTTTCTGGGTCCTCACGCTGTCTCTTCCTGCTGGCTTTATTCTGCATTTGACTTGAACGTTTTGTCAAATCCTTTCCGGATTTCCATTTGATTTCAGTGGACTTTGAAGATGGATCACCACTCTCATTCAGATGAAATTCTTTGGAGAGAACTTTATTTTCAAAGTTAAGGGTTTTCATCAAAATAAAAATCTATTCTGTAACCTGATTTAATATCTTCAAATTCTGTCACTTCGACCCTTGTCAAATAACGCAGCGCCTCTTCATCCTCATCCCCAAGCAGTGCAGACACTTGTGGATGGTTAGCAAACGTTGCTCCCCCAAAATTTGGGATTTGGGCGATCAATTCCGACCTCTTCTGAAAAAATGGTTGGTGGAGTGTGCTATATTTCTGTTCTACTTTCAAAGTAGCACAGAATCTCCTCACTGGCTTGTTCGATAAGTCTGTCTATTTCATTTTGTACTTCATCAACATGTTCAATTGCTTCTTGCTGTTCTTTTTCTGAGGTCTCGTCGGCCCCGTAGTGGTTGGAGTTGAGCTCCTTTTTATTGACTTTGGCCGCGGGCGCCGACATGGTGCTGCTCCGCGGTCGGGGTCGCGGGGAGAGACGGCTGGGGAGAGAAGGGAAGGCGAAGGGGGCGGGCCGCGGCTTCCCTTCACGCCACACGCGCGGGCGCCCGCTCGGTCCGGCCGCCTCCTCCCCGCGCTCGCTCGCTCGCTTTCCCTCCCCCTGGCTCGCGCGCGCGCCCTCGCGGCCTGACAACGAGGGAGGGGCTGGGGCTGCGTGCCGGGCTCCCGCTTACGGAGCGGAGGCGGCGGCGGGCAGGCCGGCGTATCTGATCCTTCCCTCACGCTCCGCGCTCCAGCTCCCGGCTCCAGCTCCCGGCTCCAGCTCCCCGAGCCGCCTACTCCTCCGCTTCCTCCTCACGGCGAGGGGCGGGCGGAAGAGCCATGAGCTGAGTTTTTAACGCTAAGTATTCAGCCAGATGAAGGGAGTCTTAACGGAGGTAACAGCTGGGCAGAGCTGGAGGCATGGAACCAGGCAGGGTACTGGATGGCAGCACCATGAAGATTGACGGGGCACTGACAGACGAAAAGTTAAGAACTGGGTTAGTAGGAGTTATTATTTTCATTTTGGGCTCAAAGTCTTGTGTTTTCCTGAAAAGAGAATAGAAACTCATGGTTATAATTCTATGTAAAGCATAGTCCACTGCATGTCAGTCCCTGGTGAAGCCAAGCCTTACCAATCAGACTGTGGTCCAGGAATCCTCTTTTAGAAGGTATGGGACAAGGGTCAGTTTTTTTTTTTTTTGCGGTACGCGGGCCTCTCACTGTTGTGGCCTCTCCCGTTGCGGAGCACAGGCTCCGGACGCGCAGGCTCAGCGGCCATGGCTCACGGGCCCAGCTGCTCCGCGGCATGTGGGATCTTCCCGGACCGGGACACGAACCCGTCACCCCTGCATCAGCAGGCGGACTGTCAACCACTGCGCCACCAGGGAAGCCCACAAGGGTCAGTTTTTATAGGATTTTCATGAAACGTAGAATTTAAAATGAAAGTTTTGTACTTGAAGAAGATAAATTTCATTTATCTGAAAAATTTATTTACCTGGCTTCCGTAGAAACAGAGCTTTCATTTTCTTAAAATTAGAAAAATGTTGTATAAAAGTAAATATTGAACATAACCTCAATATAGAAAATGCGAGCATCTCTGCTTGAAACAAGGGTGTGTGTGTATGTGTGTGTGTGCGTGTGTGTGTACCGAAGCATACAGAACTCAAGTGATTTAGAGTGTCCTTTGCCTGGAGGACTAGAGCTACAGAACACAGTTTACAAAGTATTGACTTAGAACAGAGAACTATGAGAGATGAAGGAACTTACAGATGATTTAATGAATTGTCCAGACACTTCATGTTAGAAATAAGAATTCTAAGAGTTGGCAAGGCATTGTAACTTTTTTTTTTTCCCCAGGGAATGAGACCAAATGATGTGTCAGGCACTTCTAAAAATTCTGATGACTTAATTTCACCACATGCTTTCTTTTCCCCAGAAAGGAACTTGACATAATGGGACCATCTTGGGCCTCAATTCAGGAAATTTAATAAAATAACAAGTATAAAATTTGTTATTTTTGGAGCGCTTTCTGTATATCCTATACTGTGAAAGCATTTTCTATTCATTATCTTAAATTTTTAAAAGATTGTGATAAAATACATATAACAAATTTTTCATTGTAACCACTTTTAAGTATACAGTTTAACAACATTAGGTAATTCACATTGTTGTGCAACCATCACCACCATCCATCTCCAGGACTCTTTTTATCTTGCAAAACTGAAACTCGGTACCCATTAAGGAACAACTCCCATTCCCCTCCTGCCAGCCCCTGGCAACCACCATTCCACTTTCTGTCTCTATGAGCTTGACTACTCTTGGTACTTTATATAACTGGAATTTTACAGTATCTGTCCTTTAGTGACTGGCTTATTCCACTTAACATAATATGCTCCAAGTTCATCCATGTCGCAGCATGTATCAGAATTCCCTTCTTTTTAAGGCTGGATAATATTCCATTGTATGTATATACCACCTTTTGCTTATCCATTCATCTGTCGATGAATGCTTGGGTTGCTTCCTGCTCTTGGCTATTGTGAATAATGTTGCTATAAACATGTGTTTAAAAACATCTCTTTAAGTCCCTGTTTCTAAGTTTTTAGGCATATACTCATAGATGGAATTTCTGGATCAAATGGTAATTCTATTTTTAATTTTTTAGAGAACAACCTTACTGTTTTTCATAGCAGCAGCACCATTTTACATTTTCACCAATAGTGCACAGCAGTTCCAACTTCTCTACATCCTTGCCAACGCTTGGTATTTTGTTTCATTTTGAAAATAATAGCCATCCTAGTGGGTGTGATGTGGTATCTTATTGTGGTTTTGATCTGCACTTCTCTAGTGATTAGTGATGTTGAACACCTTTTCATGTGCTTACTGACATTTGTATGTTTTCTTTGGAGAAATACCAATTCAAGTCCTTTGTCCATTTTTCAGGTGGGTTGCTTTAGTGGTTGTTGTTGTTGAGTTGTAAGGGTTCTTCGTGTATTCTTGATACTAACCCTTTAGGAAATAGATCACTTGCAAATATTTTCTCCCATTCTTTGGGTTGCCTTTCCACTCTGTTGATTGTGTCCTTTGATGCACAGAAGCTTTTAATTTGATGTAGTCCAGTTAATCTTTTTTTTTTTTTTTTTGCTTTTGTTGCTTTGTTCTTTTCGTGACATATCCAAGAAATAAACGCCAAATCCAATACCATGAAACTTTCCTCCTCTGTTTTCTTATAATAGTTTTCTAGGGTTCACTCTTATATTTAGGTCTTTGCTCCATTTTGAGTTAATTTTTGTATATGGTGTAAGATAAGGGTTGTACTTCATTCTTTTGCATGTAGATATCCGGTTTTCCCAACATCATTTGTTGAAGCCACATGATTTTGTTAAAGCCACACAGCTAGATGGTAGCAAAGATGGGTCCAAACCCCAGTTCCCTGTTTCCAAGTTTTTAGGACTTCCCCTCTATTCTCTGTCAGTGCCCCATTGCCCACTGTTTTAGGTAACTGAGGTATTACTATAATCACACAGAGGTGTGATGGAGCTTACACTCTGAATACGCTTGCATTTTAAAGGAATAATTTGTTGCCCATAATATTTTTAAATAAAGAGATCAACCCCTGCTCCCTGCTCAAATGGTCATCCAGTTTCCCCCCTGCTTCACCATTCTACTGAGTTTGGAAAGGAGGCAAAGAAAATCACAAAAATAGTCACTTGTCATTTGTACTTTACATAATTATCCTTACTAAATCACGGAGCCCCTTAAGCACCAAGCATCTTTCCACAGGGAAAGAAAATAGGCTTGCTTAATGAGCTGTAAATATTTGAAAATATGAATTATAAAATGATTAATATGAGAGGTCCAAACTTAGCTAACTTAATTTCTATACTACATTCTATCTACTGAGACTCTCTTTGATCATGATTCTAGTTTGATTCATAGCTAAACCGTCTTCTATCTAATTTTCTTTGCAGGAGTTGGAACTTAATATATCTCAGAGGGAAAGATTTATGAGTAAAAATCATAAGAGTAAAAATATTTAAAAATCACTTTCAAATTGTGTTAAACAGGACAGATTTCGTTCTGTGTAAGTCTGTGTAACTCTATGTATATCGGGTCTCACAGAGTCCAGGCTTTGCCTGGTGTTGTATTTAAAGAAACATAACGTAGAAATGAAAAGTAATTAGAATATTCCAATGTTATCACTCATATGCCTATTGATTAACACCAAAGTAGATTCAATTCATCACGCACATTTCTTTCAATCTATAGCTCTTTCACACTTTGCAACTGTCCTTCCAGCTGAATCAAATGTCCTCCCTAACACCTATCCTTTTATATTTTACTCCCTTCTCCATTTCCTTCTAGAATCCGTTTTCTTCCTCAGGTATTTCCTTCTTCAAAGACTGTACTGCTTTGCACAATAAAGGCGATGGGAATGAACACCTCTCATCACCTTCACCCTCACCAATGATGGGCCACCATCATTCCGGCCCAAATTGCTACATCAACATCTAAATGGTCTCCTTGCTTCCACCCCAGCCCCTTACAGAAACCAGATGATCCTTTAAAAATATATGTTGGTCTGGTCTTACCTTTCCTCCTCCCCTGAGTTTACTGTCTGTTTCCCCTACTAGACAGTACTCCTTGATGGTGGGGAATTTTGTCTGTTTCCCTGCTGTATCCCCAGGGAAGACAACAATGATGACAGGTAGATGAGACGCACCCTAAATTTGTTGAGTGAAAAACTGAGCTCATTAACAAACTTCTTACTTCTTTTGTAAATACTGTTTTTTTTTCCCTGTAGAGAATCCCCTCTTAAAAGTTGGCATGATTTAGGCTTCATATTACAGAAAAGACAGCTTGCTTTATTTCACATAAATGAGTAGCTTATGTACATTTTGAACATGGCCAATACGATACCAATAAGGCTTCACAACTGATGACGTGAACAAATCCTATACTCGAGGAAAACAAATTCTATATCTCTGGCTGCTTTCCTACCACTACCTGACATGTCACAATTCATAAATATATATATATATATATATTTTTTTTTCTAGTAGTTTCTTTTTGATAAAGGGGGGACTAAGAAGAAAGAAGTGGCTTAAAAAAATAAGGAAGTTAATGTGCTCCCATTACTGGAAATACAGAGGTAGCCAGATTTTAGCAGCTGGATGATGGCCTTGAGCTTGAAGGTGCTTTTCATGTCTCTCTCTGACAACTGGTGCTATGTGTGGACACCTCCTGTGCCCCACCTCATATCCTCTGAGTCCACCTTTAATCTAGCCATGGATGCAGGAGTCAGTTCTGCCCAAGTGTATAAGCACCTTGCCTCAGCTGCACAGTGTATTTTTTACTTTCTGCTTCTCTGATACCAGATATGGGACTCTTCTGGGAACCAGCCTGTCCAACTAGTGAACCAGTGAATGGTCCAGTCACAGAATCATCACTTCTTTTGTGAAGCCTGTGTGAGGCAGC